GTCACGGCAGAGAGCCGTGACAGGATCGAGAGGTGAGCGAACGCCGATATGTGTTCACTCACCTCCCGATCTACTGAGATGACCTGCGACAGTCTCATTGTCACAGGTCGGCTAGAACTATGAGGTGAGTGAAAAGCAACCCCCCCCCCTCATAGTTCTCCTTTAAGTGAACTTCCACAAATGTGCGGGAGTTGCATTACTCTGGTATGGCCACACTTTAGGGAGGCCCACAGGACTGGAGGCGGCCCTAATAGTACTCTGTGGTGCACATGCAGTTACATTTGTTTATTTCCTCTTACACGGGGATTTAGTTGTCACGCAGACTGGCACATCTACGGATACTTTAACTTACAGCTTCTCTGAACAGAGTGTAGGAGATGCTCTCTGCTCTGATGTATAGTGAAAGGAGGAAGCATTGAACCCATGTTCTTCCCGATCCGGCTCAATCTGGTAAAGGCTTTGAAGGAAATCAGTCAGAGGTCAAGTTTGCTGATTTAAGTGACAGTCTGAGCCCGGCTTCGCTGAAAGCCGTTGTGCTGCGAAAGGCTATTTCCGGGCAAAGCACACATGCAATCTGTATCTTTCTATATTATGTACTGCGAGGCTAATGGGCCTTAAACAACGTTCACAGAGAGCCCATATACCAAGTACGACTGCCAATGCCTATCTGCAACATCTGCCTTCATGGGTCGCATTCATGTGGGTGCATTTGTGAAAGATAAGATACGGCTAATAACTTTCCTGTATTCATAGAGGTGATGAATGCTCATATATCAGTTATAATGCACACAAGAGGACCATTCTTCCGCTTACCTTGCTGCCTGTGAGCTGCGCAAGATACGGCTTCAACTCCTCTCCAATGACAGAATAAATTGCTACAAGACAGAAGACGCTTGCTTTGCGGACGCTGCTCTCGGTATTATCGTAGCCCTGGAGAGAGATAAGACGCTGGTGTTAAAATGCACTTTACTGCAAAGGCACCTACTGGCATGGAGGGAGGACCGGCTGTAGACTTTCACATGTCTGCACTGTTCTAAAAGGGAAGATAAGCACGCAGCTCATATGTGAGGAGACCCCCAAATAGTTGCTATATTCAACTCTGGGTGGCTTACCCACACTTCAGCATAGTGACTATTATACGGCCAACAAGCCCCCTATGTGACAGCACATTGGAGGCGACAGGTTCTCTTTAAGGTGTCTTTTAGACCCCTAGCGTCACCTTTCCGCTTCACTGGGGAGTGGCAGCTGAATGTCAACTCAGCAGGTAGTGGCTGGAAGCAATAGCCAGCCCACTATTTCAATCATACAGTCAAGCTTTTTGGAAACCCCCCGCACTTCTGTGGGACCCAGTGACCACAGCAATGATTTCAGGATGGAGAGCAGAGCGGAGAACGTCCTTTTCTCCGATCTGCTCTCTGTGATCAGTGAGACCGGAGTGCTATACTCACAGCGCCCCCCCACCCCCCATCTCAGCTGTCGCAGGCTGCACAGAATAGAGCACAATGCAGTTCTCCATGTTCTGTGTTGGAGGGCAGGTTCCAAAAGAGAATCTGTCACCTCTAGAACACTATCACATAGGAGCTTGTTATCCCCTGTGTGATAGTAATAAAGTTAAGTGAAAAACAAAACTGAAAAAAGTTAAAAACATTAAAAAAAATAATTAAAAGTGATACCGTATTTGCCGGCGTATAAGACAAGTTTTTAGACTCAAAAACATCCCCCGAAAATCGGGGGTCGTCTTATACGCCGGGTATGGATGTGCGGTAATACTGTATGTACGGTAGCTTCGGCTACATACAGTATACCCCGCTGAGCCAATCACGGCAGGCTTTGTATTAATGAATACAAAGCCCGCCGTGATTGGCTCAGCGCGGTATACTGTATGTAGCCGAAGCTACCGTACATACAGTATTACCGCACATCCAGCGGGCTGACAGATTAGCCTCCATGGCGGTCTGATGATTTTACTTTAATTTTTTTGCTCTATGTTTTTTTTTAACTTTTAAAATTGCCGCCGGTTCTGCCCCCCTTGCGACGCGGTCGCTCGCAAGGGACGGAACCCGGAGGGCACAGCGGGGAACGTGGACAAGGTAAGAGACTGTAACCCTGAGGCTCGGGGTTACCGCTTATGGTACTGAAAATTCAACCCGATCTACACTCGGGAATACCGCCATGGAGGTTAGTGGGCGCATTTAAACATTATTTTGGGCTATACTCGTCTTATACGACGCGTATAGCCCAAAACCTATGTTTTAACAGAAAAAGAAGGGGGTCGTTTTATACGCCGGTAAATACGGTAGTTAAAAATAAAATGAAAAAAATGAAGTGATAAATCGAAAACCAAAAGAAAAAAAAAAATGTAAAACCAACCCCGGCCCCGCCGCCATCTGCATGTGAATAAGCAGTGCTCTCCAACACGCACAGTGTACATTAAAGGGTAAGGTTATTTCTTGTATTAGGACAAGTAGATTTGGGCCCCTCATCACCGCTGATAAAGAAAGTCATTAACCTCGGGGGGCTTCTCCATTTACCATTACAATGACATCTTTCCATGTAACTCTTCTTGTTCAGTTTGCCTGGAGTCCTGGGTGACTTGAAGAGGAAATACTATAAATCTTTAGCGTGTCACTTGCCTAATGTCTCTCTCTGGCCCTTTCATCTGAACAAGTCAGGCCGCATTACTGACCGGGAGACACTATTACCATCGCGGGAAACGGCAGCCCCTGTCCCTATCAGTAACGCACCAGTACAAGGACACCTGTAATGGGATGGGTGTAACTTCAAAACCCAAATGCCTCAACCGTGTCAACATTGTAATCTTCCTGCACATCATGGCATGACTGGGAAATGTATTGGTTCACAAGAAGCATTGGGCAAATACCTGGAGTTAATGAGACGCGCACCTTATGACATGATATTTAGGGACTTTTGTTTATTGTGGTCAATAGACTCACTTAAAAGTGCTTGCTGGTCCATGGCTGGCCTGACTCCTAAATGTCCATTGATGAGCTTCCCTTTGTATCCTCTGCTCCAAATACAATTTACAGTCACTCATTAGGTTCACCAACCAATCAACAGGGACAAGCCACAATAAAGTAAAATCAATCATTGCTGGTCGTGCATGTTGATCCTCCCCAGCATATAAAAAAAAATAGCTAATTAACCCCTTTGCTGCAAGAGACTTCTGCTGTACATCACTGGCAGCAGGCTCCTCTAAACAGACTCTGGGTGGCTCTGTTCAGCACTGGAAGAGATTTTGGCGGCTGTCCCGCCGACCATATTATTTCACTTCTGGTTCCTCAGCTACAGAAGCCGGGGAAGAAGCTATTCAAGCGAGATCTGTACTTTAATAGCTCCTTTGCACTGGAAAGGTGACACTAGGGTCTAATAGAACCTGCCACCACTCATATGCCATCACATAGGGGGCTTGTAAAACAAACTAATTTTTACTAAAATGTTGGGTTTGATAAAGAGTTGCACCAATACCATGCAACGTAAAAATCTGCAGCCCCCGCCATGTTATTCTACACGGTCTTTGCTTTCAGGTAATGTATACCTCTCGGGTGTTTTAAGTGATTTTCAAGCCTAAAATGTGGATTTATTATGCGTGTGCAAAAAATGCCTTGGCAGTGAAAGTGTTAAACTTTAAAAAAAAACAACAACCTAAAAACACACGTTTGGATCAGATTTAAAGACCACATTCATTTCTCAGTTTAATAAACCAGTTATTTTGAGGCCAGAAACTTGATAATTAAAAACAGGCCTCAGAAGCTGCTTTGTGAATCCGACTAAAAAATTATTCTGAAGAAACCAGTTCAGCACAGAAATGCGCACGGAGGGGAAGAAAGGTCGATTTTTTTGAGGAAAGAAAAGAATGGGATTAGCATCAATGGCAGCCTCAGACAAAAAAAAAAGGAGCGCTCCGAATTACCTGTAACAAACCGGGAATAATATCCTGCAAGATCTGATGCAGAGACTCCTTGGAAATCCTCTCGATGACTTTAGTTTGCATCTTGATGGCAGCCAGATTTATAGGGTAATCGGCAGTCTGGATGATGGGACAGAGAACTTTGATGCATTGCTCGGGGTGTATGGAGCTAGCTAGGGTGGAGGCCGCTTCTTCCGCAGCTCTGACGACCTGAAACACACCAAAATCAGCACAAAACCATCACTGAAAATCAAACATCACCATTGCACAGTAGGGATTAGATGAGCCCTTGTGCTAAGGAACCCTGTTGGGTTAGGATAAAATCATTGAAACGTTTATTAACCTTGAGCTGATCTTTAATTCTGGTATTTTATACACTGAGTGGGCAGATTATTATGACCCCCCCATCAGTACTTGGTTGGGCCGCCTGGTGACTCCACGAGATGATGAAAGGTGATGCGAGGAATCTGACACGGCACTGTTGCCCTTCTGTTGTCTTGTACCAGTCTTGCCCCTCCCCCGTTCTGCACTAACATTGACTAGTCGCTGACGGCCACAATTCGCACGTTCAGACCCAGATTTTCGGCTGACAGTCCGGTCTTTAAACACTTTAACAATGAGCCGCTCCTGAACATGTAACGGATTCTGCTGTTGTGCTGATACTCGCTCCATGGCTCCGAGCGCCAACAATCATCCCGCGTTCCAAGGCTGTTACATCGCGTTGTTTCCCCGAATCTTCCCAATCACTTCTACTGTCGTGGTAACCAACCCGCTTCCCTATTTATAATGGTCTGGCCCTCTAGCAACTTCAGTGCCAAATTATAGCTAATGTGCCTACAAACCTCAGGTGGTCATAATAATCCGGCCACTCGGTGTATATAATAATCCCGCCACTCGGTGTATATAATAATCCCGCCACTCGGTGTATATAATAATCCCGCCACTCGGTGTATATAATAATCCCGCCACTCGGTGTACATCACTAGTGTCTAAAATATACCGTCCGATTCATCAGCTGAGGCCGCCCCGCGGTATGGGCCGCTGCGCCCTTTATGCTCCTATACAGTAAACAGCCCGTAAACTCGGAGAACAAACTCCGCCGTGAAAGTAGCAGTCCATGAAATGACAACCCTGTAACACTTTTACTGCAATCTCTCCGGGTTTAACAGCTTGACACAAAATAGCTTGAAAGTCTGAGCTAGAAAGTACACAATATTAAAAAGCACTTAACTGAAATGGAGAGAATATTGTACAATTCTGTGCACATTTACACCTTTTCCACACAGTGCTGCAAGACTTTATTTATATAAACAGCAACAGTACGTTTGGGTGGTGGGAAGGGAATACAGAGGTATCACATCAACCTTGAAGAGCAACGTTTGAATGTATATTGATAATATCAGCGACTGGCATATCCACATGACTGCACTCACTACATTTTTCCAGCCTTTGAAACATAAACATATTAAGTAGGAAGCAGAGCCTGCATGTGTAATTCACAGCTGCCCCCATTCTACATATATTTTCATAAATGCTTATTTCTGCTCAATGTTCATATTTCAGGTTTTTCGGTCTGGGTTCAAAGATCCTCTAAGCCAGTGGTGGCACTCCAGCTGTTTTGGAACTACAAGTCCCACGAGGCATTGCATGGCTCTGACAGCCACAGACATAACTCCCAGAGGCAGATGCATGTTGGGATTTGTAGTTTTGGCACAGCTGGAGTGCCAAGGTTCGCCACCACTGCTCTAAGCCCTTGGTTCTCAACTGGTGGGTCGTGACCAGTTTAAAGTGGGTCACCGGATGCCTTCCACCTTTCTAGGTGAGAGGCTTCTCGGCCTCCCCCAAGCACAGCACCGTCAGTTCCCATGCCAAGCAGCCATTCATATGCTACGTAGCGCCGAATGTCAGCTTAAGGTGGGCTGGAGCTATGGCCGTGAAGGAGCCTCATCCATATGTGCATTGTTTACAGCTTCCGCGCATGTCCTGTAGAGATGCGTGGACCGGAGTGACGTCACATTCTGGCTCCCGACACCTCTACAGGGCAAATACAAGAGCTGTACAGGCAATGCAGATATGGATGGAGCTCCATCACAGCACAGCAGCCCACACTGGACACCAGGCTGAGGATCCGCTCCAGTTCCAGTAAGATAGGGAGACTGGGTGGATCTTAAAAATAAAACAAAACTTTTTTGGGAGTGTATATGCGTGTGAGAGATTGTGTCTGCGGTTGTGTGCGTCTGTCAGTGTTTTTGAGGGCCCGTTCACACTAGTACAGTGCGTTAAATCGAACAGTCCTGCGTGATTAATGCACTGTACCACGCAGTCACATCTACTACGCACTCTGGTCTCTCGCCCACACACCCGAACGTGTGGTACTGCAATGCTGTGCGTTCCGTTGCCGTGCGACTTGGGTCACAACCTAATGACCAAGGACAAATGTGGCTCCTGAGGTTACACGGGTCGATAACCACTGCTCCAAGCTGTAGTGGTGACGCTTAATGAAAAAGTTATTGTGCCACATCCAATGTGACCAAGGCACAATAGAAGCTTGTTACAAAAAAGCAGCTGCCACCCCCCACGGCCGATCAGCTGCATTCCCTGCCCTGCAGTATAAGT